AGCATGGAACAACCTGAAGCTGTAGGTTATTAATAACTACTGGCCTTCCTCAGGGAATAGCAGAGGGATTGCTGGTTCTTGCAATTACAACTTGGGGTGAAAAGAATTCTGAACCTTGTCCTTTGCTTCATCTCCACGATGGGGAATGAGTGCAGTGTACAGGAGCTGTGGAAGATAGACTCGGTTGTTCCATAGTTCATCTCTTGGAAGGAGGCTGTTGGCTTATGGAGGAGAAGAGAAACAAGGTGCTGCCCTGCCAAGATAGCTATGATTAGGTGACAAGAATGTTCTCATCTGCTGCTTCAAATCAGATGAACTTGTGAAAGAAAGGAAAATGAGCTTCCCAACCAATCCTAATGTGCTTCAAGACAGCCGGATTTCTAATCAGACTGCTGTGATTCCTGGCATTCTGCTTTTAACTTTGTACTTGTCTCTTTTTTCAGGACTGAAAGTGAATCGCCTAGACATGTATGGAGAAAAATACAAGCCTTTTAAAGGTGTCAAATATATTACAAAAGCAGGAAAATTCCAAGTCAGGACATGAGAAGATGCTAAGAGGAAATTCCCCTTAAAAAGACTTGACTGCTTAGTGACTTATGTTGGTTAGGTGCCAATTAATTAATGAATAGACACTGATTAGTTTGGGATCAAAGCATTTGTGCACAGCAGCTCTTAAAATGAAAGCATAGCTTAGTTTTTCTTAATATGGCTTTAAAATAAGGTACTTTTTTTTTTCCTATTACACTTTCACTCTTTTTTTACTGAATTGTTGTGCTGGTGAATAGTTTGATATGGGCAACCCACAAAATGTTGCAAACACTACACTGCCAGTCAGATACCAAAGCCCTGAGGTCAAGCACATTCTGAAGGCCAGACAGGCCACTGGAAAAGTCTTCTGGTGGCATGTTTTGCTGCTGGAGCTGCCTGCAAAGAAAGCTCAGTTCCACCCACAGCCAGCTGCAAGCTGGCATTCCACAAAGCAGCACGTAATCCCTTCAGAAATAGAGCAGTAGTGAGAGGGGCAAGGGACCCCTGGGGCAAGGGACATTGCAGGTGTCACTCCTGAAAAAGCTTCTGATGAAGTAAAAAATAATTTCTGTGTTGTTTACAAGAAATCGCCTTTCTTAAGAAGCATTTGCCTTAATCAGCTTTCATTTCTGCCATCTGCAGATGAGCTGATAAAAATAACATCCTGCATTAAATCTGGGAGGTGATTGTTGCTTCAGTAATCCACTTTGTTTCCATTCAATCTCATCATCCCCATCATTTTTTTTAAGAATACAGTTGCAGAGAGTAAGATCTATTTTTTATGTGAAGCCTTTGCTTTGATTTAGATGTTCCACTTGTTTGAAGTGGATGCCACCAGATGTGTGCAGTGTGTACCTTCAAGAGTAGCTTTTTAGATAGCACAATAGAAGTGTCAAGTGTATTTAATGGTTGTGTGCTTTAATGTTCTGAAATAAAGGGAACTCGACTGCAAGTATGTCTCACCCTATGAAATGTTCATGCTCTTGTAAACGATTCATGATGCTCTTAAGCAGGAGGTATCTGATACACTATTAAACAATGATCATTTGCTACATCTTTACTGAACTTGAGCACTGTGCAGCTGCTTAGGGTTTTAAAAGGCTGTTAGGAGCATGACAGGTAAGGGCCCTTTCATATTTCTTGTTTTTAAATGGAGGACATTTATTTATGCTATCTCAGAGACTCAACAGTCTAATCTTCTTGTTATATACCAAAAAAACATCTCTCTAAACCAAAACATATTCCAGAGTAGCCATCAGGTTCCAAACCATGCATTTGTTCAGTACTAATTAAGGGTGGGATACTGGAGACCCTCTGTTTTTCTAACCTGTTTGGCTTACAAACCAAAGTCACTTACTAGTCAAAATTTCAAATACTGGGACAAAAAATGATCCAGTCTGGAAAGAGGAGGGGAAATCCATCTGAACCCTGGCAGCCAGTCAGTAAGGAAAGAAATGAGCATAGAGTCTCTATGTGTAACTTCAGTAATATCATTAGGGTAAACTTGGCCATAAACAACAATTTTGAAATTCTAAAATTACAGTAGATAAATCAGCACTGTGAAGAACCACCATCTAATAAGTTCTTCCATTTGTGTAGACACAGCCCTGGTTATTAAAAGCTACCAACTTTCTAGTCTGCCTTTTTCGATGGATCCATCAATTCAACACTCATCCTAAGTTCCGCTCTGTGTTTTGGCAAATGGCATCCTTCAGTTACTGGAACTGAAGAAGAAATCTTCAGAGGTAACAGGTAACATCCCAAGCTGACATCTGAACAGCTGGAGCTGCATTAGCAGCCTGGAAATGCTGCCCCATGGCCTTTCAGAGCTGACACCCTTCCTGACCTAGGTCATAAAGAAGTGTCAGAGCTCCAGTCCCAACCCCAGCGCTGCCTCCCACGTGTGACTGAACAGCCCCTCCTGCTCCAGGACCTGGGGCACCAGGGGGGCTTGCACAGAAGCTGTTGGCAGGGGAGAGCCCAGCTCATCACTACAAGTCACTGTCAGCAAGAGCTGCACTCAGCAGTAGGAAACCAGTCTGGGCATGGAGATGTGTTTTGTCAAGGAAATGGCTGCAGGTGTGTGAGGCCAATACCTTTTCTTGTACAGGTGCTGCTTCCTTCTGTATCTCCCAACAGAGGAAGCTCAACTGCAGAAGGGGGCCTGTGTTTGTGTTGTGTTTTTAAAAAAAAAAAAAAAAAAAGTACCAGCACCTCTCTGAAGAGTAGAGTTTAGGGAATCAGGATAGCATTAGCAAGGAATTACACTGCCAAGTTTTGATCTTCCCTGCTCATGCCCAGCTTTAGGAGTGCTGACAAAGGTGGTTGTCTGTCAGGGTCTCATCTTTCAGATATGGAGAGAATTGTGTGAACGGTACAAAACTCTGAATTTTACCAATTATTACTAAATAGCAGGTGCCCTCTGGCATTATGGGGCAATGTTTGGTCCTACAGTACCAATAAACATTGGTTCTACCAGGTCAGAATATTGTGTGCTGGTATAAGTTCTTAGCAAGAAAAAATGTTTGCAAGACATTCTTACAGTGATGGAGTGAAGGAAATATAACAATATATCGTACTAATCACCCTTGCATTCAATTTAACAGGTAAAATTCACATTAACAAGATGCTGGTCAGAGTAGCAGTTCTTCCCTTACCGACACAACCAGGCCAACTCCATTTCAAGTTTTCACAATACAGCAGATCACTGTCAGGCCTCAGGAAAATCTCTTGTTCTCTCCCCCTGAACACAGCTTCCGGTAAATTCTTTAATTACTAGTTTGACAGGTACAGAAGACAAAAAAAACCTTTGTTTAATCTTTTCCTGTTGGAGAAACTTTCCACTTTCTTTCTGTTCAGAACATGTAGAAACAATTGTTGTTTTGCTTTAGCTTTTTGCTGCTCTTCTTGTTACACCATCATCCACTGCTTTCATTAACACTCAGAAGCTGATCTTTGTACAAATGCATTTTTATTGTTTTAACAGAACCAAAGAAAGGTTGAGAACATTAGACTATACAATACATTTTGGTTTATAAACAAAGTTTTATAGTGGTAAAACATTTCTAAGTGACATTCATGGTCTTGTTCAAAGTTTTGCTGCACTTGAGACAAATAGTGTTCAAAAATGCAGTAATTGCATAAGGTGGACAAGTATCTCAGCTTCTACAAACAGCTTGAGAACTTAGAGCAAACATTCTGGAAGAATATCAAAGGCAACCATGATTCATAACTCTCCTGCAAACATTCCTCAATAAACAAAAAGTGATCTTTGGCATAAACAATTATGTATTAAAGGCATTAGTAATATTGCATTAATATCATTCAAGCAACTAAACAGTGATGCTAAAATAATAATAATAATTAAAAAAAAAATCTCACAGAGAAGCCTGGATGGTGGGAGCAGGATGAGGGGATGTGAAGAGCATTGTAAAGCAATACAGGAAGACTATTTAGAAAACCCCTTTAAAATAATTCCTACATACTCAGTGTTATGTACTATTAAATAGAAATTACTACATTAAAATTAGGTTAAAGATCTGATAGAAACCAACCAAATGCATCCAGGTTAAGGCTCTGGCACCCCTTCCTTCCTCTTCCTGTTGCAGGTAACTGCAAGAAGAGAATACTAAGGAAAGATCCTAAGTACCAAATATTTCATAATACCCAGACACAAGGAGCAAATTCAAGACGAACACACGCCTTCTCTTGCTGAGGTCAGTTTGAGACAGTTGTATTATCAACAGTTTCACTTCCCTTTTTAGGTAACAGTGCAATGAAGGGGTGGAGGGGAGAAGGTCCAAGCATAGAATAACTGCTGCAGGCAGGTAGAGGACAGCTGACTGTGCTGTGTCTCTTCCTTTGAGCTGTTAAGACTGAAGTTTTTCCCCAAGGACACTTCTATTCAAGCTGGTTTGATGATGCAACAATTCTCAGCAAATTAGGAGGGTATTATGAGGTCAGTGCTGATTTGGGCAAAAGTCTGCAAGTATTCCTTAAAAATTGTAGAAACTCATTCTCAAACAAGTTTTCCTTTCTATGGGGCAATTAAATGATCATATATAAATATATAGATGAAGGCATATTCAGTTATGGAAGGATAAAACATCAAGTCTATTTTATAGTAAGGGGAGTGTAGGGGGTTTTACTGTTATTTTGTTTGGGATTTTTTTTTAAAGATACAGTAACACTTTGTTCAATTCATTTGAAAATAAAGATTTTGAGACTCCAAACTCCACAAGCAGGAAAAATAATGAGGTATGTGCAACATTAGGAACCACCATTTGCTGGTAGCCACCAGCTTACCTAAGAGGGCTTCATGTCCCTGCAGAGCTCAGGTTTCAAAAAGCTTATGCATTGCTGGAAAGAAGAGCAGTGAGGCTAAAGGTATTTTTAAACTGAATATCTTTATCTTTTAATTTTCACCTTGAGCAGCTGGAATAATATTAGATGGAGGGAAGAGGGAAATAAGAATAATTGCATGTGCTCATTTGGTTTTCAAAAAGAAAGAGCCAGCATGTGGCATATTCTGGTCCTGGATATGCAGCTACATTAAGAGAACCAGGATTTTTCAGCTCAGTACATGGCAGAACTGAGCAAGGGAAGAGTTCCATGATTTAAGGTCTCCAGCCATAAGGCTCAAGCTGTCAACAGTGTGCTACTAACATCATCTGCAAAACCTTTCAGTACAGTACAAGAGTTCTGGAATGCCTACCTACAGGGTGACAGGAAGGGGACAGAGACAGCTCCAGTTTCTGTTAAAGTACTGTTGCCAGGCAAGAATCAAAAGCAAAAAAAAAAAAAAGCATTTCAGACATGGAGTTTTAATCCTCAGTTTACAACTGTTCTGCTGCCCCACCTTCCTCATTTTAATCAAAAACCTCACACCTTCCATCATATCTGCATGGTTTTAGAATAGCCAGATAAAATCCTGTTGAGAAGTTGAAAGTTTCTGTATCCATGATTGTCCCTAAAAAACTGCCAAGTAACCAAGTGTCCTAAACTCTCAAGACAAGCTTGAAGTGAGGTCCATGTTTTATATCATCACATGGAAACTACTGGAATATACAGTGCATAAATGAAATGTGCTTCTGGGAGTACAAAATTCACTAAGAGAATCTTGAAAAGCAAAAAAAAAAAAATTATAACAACTGTCTACTGTTGGCAGCAAATTGGAGGTGTTGGATATCAAATGTGTTCCAAAGACATTTGAAATGCATTATCTTATAATTCATACCCTTAGAATGGGGCATTAGCATAAGCTAATCTTAAGCTCATGTATACAGCACCTTTTGCTGTTAATATATCTCTTCTGTTTCCAAAAAAAGGCATTTTAAGTTACAGAAAACAATACTAATGTGGCAAGTATTTACTGATACCACGGGGTCTTTCTGACCCAGCGAAGAGTGAATCCAGCATCTGTTCTTATCTTAATGGATGCTGCTTCAGCTTCTCTCACAGTTTCCTTCACAGACTGCATGAGATTCTGGGCATTATGAACCAACATCTCAGTTGCCTGTCAAGAAAAAGAAGAATTTCCAATATATCAGTAAATACCATGATTAGGACAGTAGCACGTAAACTCTTTGTGCACAAAGACTCCCAGTACAAATACATTAAGTCTGCTGCCTGAAGCTATGAAAATAGAAGTGAAGTAACAGTCTCTGGGAAGCAGCAAGTGCTATCCTGACTCCAAACAAAACTTTCCCGTTCCTCACCATGCATTTGTGCAAAATCTGAATACAACCTTAACGTCACTAAGTAGAACAACCTCTCTCGGAAGCCAAAGCTGCAGGATTTGTCCTGAAAAGATGCACTTGGGAGGTAACTGAGCTGCAGGACTCGAGGTCATGTTTGAAAATGAACGTTTCCCGTGGAATCCACTCGAGGGCGCCCCTGCCCCTCCCAGGTCCAGCCTGCAGCGTCTGCGAGTCCTTCCCTCGGCTTTTTACTGGCAAAGCAGGAGATTAACAAGCTGTTCATGGCAAAATTGGAACCCGAGTAGCTTTTTGGCTTGTTCCTCTATTAAATGGTAGCGTTTGAGCCAGAAACCAAGGTGCTGTGCTAAAGTTATCCTCCCTGAACAGCCGAGGTGAGCTTCAACATCAAGTTCCCAGAACACATCTGATAGAACAGGTTGTATATTTGTCCCCATCAAAGTGATCAACAATTCCATGCTACCATCACAGTCTTTACACCTCTTACCTGTTCCGACTCTTCATCACTGATATTAGTTCTGCCCAGCATGGTAGCTTTGACAGTGGAGAGAATTTTCAGCTGTGTACTGATGGTTGGGATTCGCTCACAGACCTAAGTAACAGAGATAAAAACCACTTCATATTGTAAATTGAACCAATACTTTATGCATCCATTTTTTTCAGATAAACGTTTTTATTTTCTTATACTAATAGAAAATGAATATGCATAGAGGTGATCCTATAACCATCAAAACTATTTGATAAATATTGGTAGGATATTTGAATCTTATTTGACTTGCTTTGGAAATATTTAGGATGGAGCCAGCATTCCTCCATTCTTCCTGATACTCCTAAAATGTCTACTTGGTTAGGAATAGCATGATATATACATATATTTGGCTGAGACTGAAAAATCTTAGAATTCGTACATTTCTGGTACTATTCTTTGATGCAAAGGAATGAGTGACTGAAATGCAAAACAATGTAGAGAGATCAGTATTTGTAGTACAGTATTTTTTCAAAAGTTCTTTCAACCTCAAATTCTACCTTTACAGAATATATATTCACATAAGTATATATGTGTAGGAGAATAGTTTGTAAGGACAGTGCAGAAGGCAGTTTTTCCCAATGAATTACAGCTGTACGGATTGCTGAGAAATGGAGACAGCCTTGCCTGCCCAATGAGGATGGGTGTTATAAAAGAATGGGTCAGGTAGTTGAGAGTAAATTGGAGCTGGAGCTTAAGACCCGGAGTGTGCCGCAGTTGGGGATGGAGTGTGCCGCAGTTGGGGATGGAGTGTGCCGCAGTTGGGGATGGAGTGTGCCGCAG